CTGTTGCTGACACGAAGGCGCCTGTCTTGTTGAAGTGGTGTTTCTGTCTGCAGGTGTGCTTTTATACACACTTGAACACCTTAATTAGTCCTCTTTGGCTCGAGGAAAAGATGTGCCTTTTAAGTAACAGCCACTCAGAGCGATGAAATGGCTCACTCAGTGTTTTAAGTGGGCCATTCAACTTTTCTGGGTCCCGCTGCAGTCTGGCTGCCATTCAGCGAGACAGGGTAAGACACCACAGTAGTGTGTTGACCCGGGGAGACAAACACACTTCTCATCCTTAGTGCTGAGCACCAGCTGTTGCCAGGCCAATTTCTAATCCTGCGCTCTGTCTCGTCACATTAGTGAACTCTGATCACTTGTCATCGCAAATCTCTAAAGCGCCCATCACCCTACTGACCCTATAACTCTTTACTACATGTTCGAAAATAAGCCAGCAGTGCATGGATGGGAACTTCTACTCTATTTTGTCATGATCCTGGGTCCTTTTGACCCAGCGTTTTGTGTTTTCTCTTCGCAATTTTGGTTCTGTTCTCCTCTAATTGGTGTTTACCCTGTTCCCCCCCGTGTGTTCCTGTTTTATTGTGAAGGTCTGCGTCTTATGTGAGTGTTTTCAGTTTGCCTCCCTGGTCTCGTCATGTTAATCACTCCCAGCTGTGTCTCCCACCTGCGTGTAATCTCCCTGTGTTCTCTGAGTGTATTTAAGTTGTATTTTCTGTCATAGTAATGGCTGGTTCGTCTGTGTTGTTTCCCCTCGGTCTCCCCGTATGTATTTCTCCGGACCTCCCTGCATCCTCATTCTGGTTTGTCTTATTCGTTTACCCAGTTTAGGTTTCCGGTTTCATGTTTTGTCGCCACCGCTGTTTGTACTTACACCCCTGTAAATAAACACTCACCTGCACCAGAGCTGCTGCCTTTTGGGTCCTTTTCTACATTCCACACGGCTTGCCCCGGCAATCCGTGACATATTTGAACTCTCAAAATGTCTAAATGGAGCATCTGAAGCATCTAAGCGTTTTTTTTTCTTGTTGGAAAAAAAACCACACTGAAGTCAGGGTTCAGTATTTTGCCAAAGGATAACTAGAATAACTAGAGGAGCCAGGGATCGAACAAACGACCTTCTGATTAGTAGATAACCCACTCCACTTCCTGAGCCACAGTACGCTCTCAGCCCTACCAGGGATACATCCATGACCTTTGTCACCACAAACTATAGTCTGACCAAGCCATGAGATCGGTGGGAAAGCTAATTATACTACTGAGTACGCGCACATACTTGGAGCTGGAGTTCAATGATTCCAGATTTGTATTTTTTTCAAACAGCTGAAGGTTGCGTGAAAAGCTTATCCTACATGCCAGCCATGCCTGCATGAGCAAATGATAACGGTGTCATCCAAAGTTATCTGCAATGCATGGAAAAAATCCCAAATCTCTCCAATTAATTCTCTAGCTCTTCCAAAACACACTCCTCAACACCATTTACACCATTTATTATCCTAATCGCAGTCACACCTAATCGCAATTAGGCTCGCATAATTAAAAATCGCTGAGTCCCAAACTTTATTGGATACGCTGTCTCTCGTGTGTGTGTGTGTGTGTGTGTGTGTGTGAGAGAGCTGGGATTAATTACTGAGACCAAAAGTAACAACATATTGTAACTATAATGTAATTACCAAATTTAGTACTATAACGTCACATTACTGCATTACTGGTGAAATAAAATGTGATCGCAGTAATGTGTTACTTTTGTTACGTGTTACGCTCAGTGCTGCTCGCCACCTTGTACTTACACTGTCAGCAGGTCTGTGACTCTTTACCTGCAGACTCTCATGTAACTATGTGGCCATTTCCTGAAATGTGAGCAAGCCTCTGCGCTGTATTTACTTGTGAATATGTGCAGATATGCAAACGTAAGACTAAACTTTGCAAGCCAAATGTTTGCCGCTCTGTGCAGCCCTCCATCCTTCATGCACTTTATTCTGTTTGTCTTTTATTACGGTGTCTGCAGCTGGATGGAACTGTGGATCTGGACGAGAGGCGCTGCATCCGTTCAGCCATCCGGGAGCTGAGGAGGAGGGAGATTGAGGACATGGAGGCAGCTCTGGCTAGCAAGAGATTTCGACCCACACGCCTCAATCAGCAGGAGGACAAGGAGAACCAGCACAGGTGAAGCTGCACACACAGACACACAGATGTCTGTGCTGATTACAGTTTACTAGGCCAGGTGAACTGGAAATGCTGAAAAAACAATCTTCAACTCCACTGGGAAAGCTCTGGAAAAGTCAAGTTAGCAAATCACAGGAGAGAGAAAACTGCAACAGTAAAGTTTCCCATCCCTAAAATTTCCACCTAGTGTGGCTGTTTTACAATAAATACTTTCACTTTCAAATATCCCACACCGTCATGTGTCACATTAACGTAGATCAGCTATCGCAGTCTGTTTGATTATTTACCTTTCAGAGACTTTCCAGCACCTGTCATCCAGCTAAGCAGCGTGGATTAATGGGTTACTTATTTGAATCACTTTATGTTGCCATAAACATAGCACAGATTCTGGTAAACCCGAGTAAAATTAAAATATTATCTCTTGAAATCTCTCCAGTAATGACCGACTAGAGAAATAAAAATGAAAAGCAAACAAATTTACAGCAAAATTGAAACAAGTTTCTTTCAGATGACAAAAGGGGGAAAAAAGGTCGAATCATTTGCTAAATAAAGACAATAAGGAACAAGAATCAAGCAGGAACTCAAAGTGTGGATGATTTGAGAAAAATCCCAAGTTCCACGTGATCTGCGACATATTTTATAGGTTTTCATTAAAGTTCAAGACTGCACCACAATCCCATCATCTGTTCTGGAGTAAAGGGAAGAAGTGACATTATTGGATAAGAAGCAGACGCACAGAATCAGCCGCCACTCTCCTCCTCCATCGCCGAATCCTAATATAAGAGTGGTGACGGGGCCCTGATTGTTTCCATTCAGTGCTGCTCTCGAATGACTTGCGTTACAATAACACAGGAGGTGCCTCAGTGAAGCTGCTAAAGAAAGCATGCTTTTGCACATGCATGCACGTATTCATATGCCAGGACACAGAAACCCATCTGAAAGTGGGATAGAAATGGGGTAGGAGGAAAGGCCATTGTCCCGTGCCTCTCAGTGGTGGAATGTGAAGTATTCCACTCCGGCATTGCTGCGCATCTTTTTAATGCCAAAGAGCGGAGAGAAGCGAGGATAATGAGTATGTGAGTAATAGAAACCACCATAAAAGCAAGGAGTGAAATGGAGAATATGAGGCTGAAAAAGGGAAAATAAATGCAGCTTTTCTTTAGGGGGGTGGGGGGTAATGTCATTGGCTGTCAAATCTGTCATGTCGTAATATCACTTCTTCCATGCTCGATTTGGGAGTGTTCCCTCTGGGTTTTCTCTCTGCCAAGAAAACCGTCCTTTATCTTTCAAATTACCTTCAGCTGCCTGTAATATATGGGCAGAAGCTTCAGATTAGAGTCAGAGGAGCCAAAGTTTTACAGTCTGATATTTTAAACTATTAGGCTTTCTAGTTTGTTTCATGGTGAGTGGGGACTAGTTGAAGATCCATTAAAATGTCTTTGCGTTTCTTTCTCAGGTCAGAATCCAACGAGAACTTGGATGGGCTGAAACAGAAACTGCAATCAATCCGGGACATCGACGAGCTTCAGCAAATGGTGAATATTGTATCGTAATATCAGTAATGCTAACGTCTCACATCACTTTGTAGTTTCACTGAGCTTTTGCATGTGTTTGCTCATAGCTCAACGCAGCCAGCGAGTTCAAGGAGAGGAGAATGATCCGAGCGGCCATTCGGCAAGTTCAAGAGGAGCAGCAGCAGGGTGAGTGGGATCCAGTAACACTTGTCTGACGGAGCGGAATCAGAAACATCTTGTCTTATAATGACAAATCAAATTAGGGTGTTGCAGTCTTCATGCCATGGTGGCATCTCAAACAGTTTAACCAAGCTATAATTTGCACCAGTGTAATTAGAGAGAAATGCACCAGAGGGAAATATGTCAGAATTTCAAGTCTTCAGATGTTTGCGGTTTGTTGCAAAAGATGTAAATTGGTTTGATGAGGATGCAGAGAGGAAGAAATTCCAGAGATGGACTAATTATTGCTCATTTACAGATGAAATTTATTACATTGTTATGAAATAATCCCTGGTTCTCTCATACTGGGCCTTGGTGCAACAATAGACAGGGAGAACATGCAAACACATGCACATAGAAAGACCTCGGCCAGATGGTGGATTTGAACCCAGGACCTTCTTGCTGTGAGGCAACGGCACTAACTAGGCTGAAAAACTGCCTAAAATCAAGCCCTTTGCATAGTCTCGTGCATGCACTTTTGGCTTAGAGTTATCTTGCACATTCACTGATTCCATGTGCTACAGCATCCATCATTGTAGCACTTGGACATCAATACTTCAAGAGCCATCCAGGCTCCATGTGCACATCCAGAAGAGGGTGCTAGAATTAAAGGTAAAGAAATGAACTTAGCTGTTCATTGTGGAACGTGAAAGTAAAAGTAAGTTGGCCTTATCATTGTCTTGGCCATAAAGTATGTTCACGTGTGAGCGCTCAGTGCCATAGTTACTAGGGCAGATCCACCTACGATGCTGGGCCAGATAGGGGATTCCTGTCATGCCTAAGTGCTGTCTGGCCCGTGTGAACATTGAACTGCACGTAGGAGGCTGTATGTGCAGGGTGATACACGCACACAAAAAAGCAACCCATTTTCAATTTAACTTGTGTCCCCCTGTGTTTCCTCTTCTTTTAAAATCACACATGACCAGAATGTTAAGATCAGATGAGATTATAAGAAGGTATCTACTTTGCTCTAAATATTCCTGTACTGTATTTCTATTGTGTGCCCATGTTTGTTAGTGGTCGTGGAGAGGGGGAAGACTTCTGGCTTGGAGCCTGAGGGTGTGCAGTCCCAGAGCAGCATGGGAACTGGGGTGAGTACTGCAGAGTTACTGGAGTGGGAAGAAGAACGATTAAATGTCACAGCGCTGTGCTGGTGTAGTCCTGACATCTCACTTATATCTGACGGGTAAACCGTCTGGTGTCAGCTTCCATTTACAAAAATCATCTACGCATGAGGCCGTTTACGGGTGTCACGTTCTGTTGCATGGCAGCAGTGACCACCGAGGTTTCTCTGCTGCCGCAGTGAAGAATGCACAAAACAACAAACAATGAGACTTGAGTCACTTACCGGAGCGGGAATATAGCTGCACACAAAACAAAAAAACACATGCCTGAGGCGCCACAGAGGGAGGAATGTGTTTGTCACATATTCCTATTCAGGTTCGACCAAACCGAGGAAAATGATAAAATGTGCTTTGACTTTGGTGTGAGGGCGGAAAATTGTTTTTGACAGGGAGAGTCTCCCAGGTGCTGTCATTTCACACACATGTAACTGAAAAGCCTGTCTCATTTTTGAAGAAAAAAAAAGTTTTAAAGTATGGATTTCTTAAGATTTCTGTTACATCTGTCGGACAACTACTTTTAGCTGGAGTATTCTGCCTTGTCTCAGAGGTCCCTCACAGCTGGTGTGCCCTCTTGTGGCTGAGCAGCGGAGCCTTACAGGAGGAGACGTTAGGTTATCCGCTGTCAGTGATCAGTTTCTTGATAAAAGCTCTGTTTCCAGTGGATAGGATTTCTATAGGGAAAATTCCTTTTGTATGCAGCCACTGCTCTTAAGACTAAGTCCCTGAGTGATGAGACCACCTCCCATATCTGTGCTTTTAAAGAGGGGAAAAATACAGTCACTCACCTTATCAGAGTTCTGGTGTTTCATTTAAAAGCACTTGTTTTTCCCACCACAGAGATGCAAAGGGGGAGAAATGAAAGGCTTTTAGTATCAGTCCCATTGTCTGCTGGAGCCTGTGCTTTGCTTGCATTCCTGTGTGTGTGTGTGTGTGTGTGTGTTCTCCTCAGCTAGGAAGTGATGATGGCATGTTGGCGTAACAGGATGCCCTATCACTCAAGCCTATTTTACCTCACTTCCTTCAAGACAGCTGAACAGTACGTTGGTGAAATTGTGAGGATGGACGAGGAGGGGGAGGGGGAAAATGCGGAGGTCGGGGGTTGAATTCGGAAGGATGGACAGACAGACGGCCCACCAGCTGTGCCCCGGCAGTCTTAAAAGTCTGTACTGAAATGGGAATGTGGGCCAAAAAAAACATCAGCCAGCAGCAGCAGGGCTCCTTCCAGTCACATCACAGCGTCGGATCTCTTTGAGCCTCTTACAATTGTTCCGTTGAAGATGGTCTTAGATAGGCCTGAAAAGCAGCACGCAGGCACAAGCGGCATGCAGTATGTGTATGTGAGCCCGGACTCAAGAAGTTGCCTGTATACAAAATGATGAACGAAGGTGTTTAATTAGTAGGTTAATACGGCTGTTTGTCTGTATTTATGCTAGATTCCGATCGCATTTAGAATTTAATGTTTCTAATGCTCACATGCGCGGGTAGCTGAGGTACACTTAAAGTTTCCTTTTGCCCATTTTCTAGTAACCACGTGGAAACTTTAATTATATGTATGTAGCAGAAAAAAATGTCAGCACACAGAAAGGGTCCTTTTGATTATTGCAACACATAAAGGCACAAAATATTTAAATTGTGCTTTTTGTTTTTTTGAAGAGCACAACTCCCCAAAAAAGAAGTCAAAACGAGAGCAGAGTGTGTCAGAAGTTAATGTGTCAACCAGGCAACCCATTAACCTGTAAAAGTGTCCGTGAGTCTGAGTGTGGTGGGGGTCAGATCCCTCTGGAGACAGAATGGGAGGGAGGGGAAGTCAAGGGAGTGGCTTCTTGGTATTATATGTGTATGTGTGTGGTGTTTGTGGTGGTGTAAATGTTTGTGCGTGGGTGTGTATGATGTGGCTGCGGGAGCAGAGCGTCAGAATAGCGGACGTCCTGACTCCAAGAGGGTTGCTGCTGATAGAGAGGGAGAGAGAGAGGCAGTCAGTCGCGTGAAGAGAAGGTAAATGTCACTCTGATTTTATCGCAGGCTAAACACGCCTCTCATTTTCTTAACCTTTGTTTTTTTTTTTTTCCTTGTCCTGAAAAGGCATGTAAATATCTTTCCTCGTCAGTCTGTGCTCATTTCTTTCTGAGCGGAGAATGGGATGTGCCTGCCTCTGTGTTTACATTTCAGGTATGTGTACTTAATGGTTTATTGCTCACTTAGATCGCTCGGTGCGCATTTTAGCCAACAGGTAGACTAACTACAGCTGAAACTTTTCACGTTTTGCATGAAGATCCATTCAAATAGTCAAAGTGTTGTTTAACAAGTTTAACAGAAACTGTAATATTTAATGCTGGATTTTAAAATGGATTTATTAAACTAAACTTTGAAAGTTTGCAGGTTCGCTTACTATCTAGGCGTGTTCAGTTCAGACAGGCTGCTTGTTGGTTTGTTGTTTAATCATAAAATTGCTACAATAAGGAACCTTAGTTGTCAAAAACAAGCCCCAGTATGTGCAATAGAGAGTGTTTATCAGACTTCTTAGAGGTGAATTGTGAAAGCGTCCTGTAGGAGGAAAAGTCTAAAAAAGACCAGAAGGAAAGCTTAGACTGGCATGTGCTGATCTGCAGTAAGTAAAAATGGGAATGAGACTCTGGTCTGACGACTTCTGCGGGTTTCCTCACTCCAGACTGAGTGTATATGTGATGCAGAGATGATTCCTGCTTCATTCCAGATATTGTATTTCATTTGTTGGAGGTTAGCCGAGCGTGTGGTTCCTCAGGCTGCCGTAATGGAAAGTGAGCCGCCAGGTTCCTTCTTCTTTTCTTCTTCTTCTTCCACGTAGCGGCATGGAAGACCCTCAAATGGGTCTGACCTCACCAGTGGAGTGATGGATTTAACTTCCACGGAAAACTGGAAGTTAAACCCCGTCATTTAATCCAACTATGGATTAAAACCCGGCGTGTTAATCCACAGTTGAGCTCACTTGTGTGAGCTGGTTGGTAAAAGAGGTGCTTGTGTCTCATTCTGAGCTCTCATTGTTGTTTTTTGTGGAGTTGAGGGTTCAGAGGAGTCCAGATGGCCCACGCCTCGCTGCGGTCACGGGAGAGGACAGTTGTTTTTGTGTTTACGAGGTTGAGATTTTGCAATTATAGTCTGACACAAACAGGCGCTTGAGGCCGTATGGGACAATTGGCTGGAGCGACAGGGTGTCGGTGTTGGTTCCCCTCTGTCAGGTCCCAGCCATCAGGGCCAGAGCGAAGCCGCTAATGATAGCATGGCGGCTGGCAGCAGGTCCTGTACTCTGGTCTCGATCTCTATTTCCACTTTATCTTCCCCTTTTTTTTCACTCAGCCTCGCTGTCTGTGAGAAATATGTTCCCTGTGGTTTAGTGGGAGTTTTAAATGACGGCTGTCTGTCTGAGGCCCGGTAGGAGCAGCAGAGGGTGAGGGGGGTGAGCACGTGAGGGAAGGCTTGTTCTCTTTAATTGTGTTTGTTGCTCGAACACAATTATCTCCCCCTGCGACTCTTTGATTGGGTGACTGCGCTCAGGATGCGAGCATCCTCTCGCCTCAGTGCACCATAGTGCCTTCATTACAGGAGACTGTTTGTGCCCTGCAAAACCATCAGACGCTTTAATGACTCATTATAGGAGCATTCTGCTATGTTTCTGTGGCTTGCTGCAGTGTATAGGTGACATTTATTGTTGTCTAGAAAAGCTCAGAAAACCTTTTTCTCGAGCCCCTGAGTCTGTGCTCTGCTTTTAGCTCCATATGGAAACCTGGAAAAAGTGACATCAGGGCACCTGCTACGTAGATTTACACTGTTATAATATCACATTTAGGAGTTCAACTCCCCTTTTGGCTTATTTTAGCAACAAAATGTAATCATGTGTCCCAACCCGAGCTGTGCATTTTCCACATTCACCTTTTGCCTGCGTCTCATCACATTTTCTCCTCTGCTTTCAAGCCACTATCTCCTGTGATCTGCTCAAGGAGGGGAAGGTCACAGTCAAGAGAGCATAAAGCTGTCGGGTTTCTTTCTTGCCTCTTGCTTGTGTTTGACTTGGAGCAGGCTTTGTGGTTGGTCCTCTGTCTGCACGGATCACACATTGCACTGATTAAATTCCATTTAAAACACCAAAGGTGTGATTTGTAGGATTTTCACTCTGCTTCTGCTGTTAACAACCAGGCCAGCCTTTTGTCTTGAATAACATAGTTTACACATGGGGAACTGTTTGCGGTGCGATTGTGCGGTTGGGTGTGTGCACTTTCTTTCCATGCCTGAGAGATAGTGAATGTGTTTAAGGAGCATTTGGCAGTAATAGTAGGCTGTAAATCTGGTTTAAGTATTATATTTTCATGTATTGTATGTTTTTTCAGGATCCACCCCAGCATTTGTTGTGCTATTCTTAACCCAGATGCCTCTTTTAAAGTGATTTTTGCGCTGTGATGTCATTCATCATTTCAAATGAGCTGCTGAGTGACGAGCAACACCTGAAGCTCCACAAAAGACAATTTTGCCCTTTAGTAGAAAAGTTTAAGTCTCCAGAAGTTTGAGTTAAGAGTATGTTTGTTGGTGATTTGAAGACTGTGTGTGTGTGTGTGTGTGTGTGTG